AGATAGATAGATAGATAGATAGATAGATAGATAGATAGATAGATAGATAGATAGATAGATAGATAGGAGATAGCTGATAGGTGGATGGATGGATGGATGGAGATAGAGATAGATAGATCAGAAGAAAGATAAGATAGAAACCAGGAAGTCAGGACTAGGGAGATGGCTCAGGGAGTAAAGTGCCTGCTGCACAAGCATAAAGTAGTGAGTTCAAACACCAGCACCTCCAAAAAATCAAGTCGAATGGAGCATACTTGCCATCCCTGCACTAGAGAAGTAGAGCCAGGGAGATCTGTGGGGCTCTCTAGCCATTCAGCACGGATGAATCAATGAGCCCTAGGTCCCAATGACTGAGGAAAGGCATTGAGGGTTGACTTCTGGTCTCCACCTTCATTTGCATGCATGTACAAGAAATGCAGAGAGCATAGATATGCTATTTATGATGCCTAGAGAGATGGCTGCTCTTCCAGAGAACCTGGGTTCAATTGTCAACACCCACATGGCAGCTCAGACCTATCTTTAACTTCATTTCCAGGGGATCTTCTGGCCTCTGTGGGGCACCAGGCACACACATGGTGCATAGACATACATGTGGGCAAAACACCCAAACACACAAAATAATAACTTTTTAAAAGTTCTAAAGAAATACTATGTATGGTCGTATACTCAGCAAAATTCAGATTGTGGGACAATGATCTAGTTTTCTCACTAATTGACTCAGAAAAGGAGGGACAGAGACTGAGAGAAATGAGATTTTTTTTAATCTTAAAAATGATTTTTAGACAGTAAAAAAAAATTTTAAAAATTAAAAAAGAAGTAAAAAAAAGTTTAAAAAATGATTTTTAAAGACTGAAAAAAACTAAATTAATTATAAAGTGTAAACACACAGACCTATTTGACATGCTATAATGAAAAGCAAAGGTGCATGAATGAAATAGAGACAGTGGTCACTTCCAGGCGTACAGTAAGGGGATGATTGATACAGGGAGTAAGGGGGGCTTCTGAGTCACTAGCAGAGTTTTATTTCATGACACAGGTTGTAATAAAAAAAAAATCCAACTGGCATTCTGAAGCTACCCACCTTATCTTAGAACACAGTATATATCCCAAGCTCGTGTTGAAACTCTGCTGCTGTGAGAGTGTCGAGGCAGAACTTGAAAAGGCTGACTAGTTCCTGAAGAGGGATGAATGCAGTTCTTGCAGGGCTGGCTCCGTTACCAGTGGAGCAAGTTGTTGTGAAACAAGGCCCGCCCTGTCGGGTTTCCCTTCTGCCCTGCTCACTCTCCCTTCCACTCCACCACATCGTGATGCAGCACATGGCTCTCACCAGGGAGAGCCCCCCAATCTCGGACTGCCAGTCTCCAGAAGCATGAGTTAAATAAACTTCTTCCCTTTCTAAATTATTGGGTACTCTGCTATAGGACCAAAAAACAGACTAAGACACCATGCCATATAGTATATGTAAAGTCTTATAAAAGCAGGAAAGCAGCCAGTTTATTTTCAATTCAGAAAATGCAAAAGTATATAAAGCAGTCTATTTAATAGACAAAAAACACAGGTTTCATTTTCATTATACACTCATACCCACACACACACAGAGAGAGAGAGAGAGAGAGAGAGAGAGAGAGAGACAGAGACAGAGACAGAGACAGACAGACAGACAGACATGGGGGGTGAGAATCTGCCAACTGATAATCTTCCCAAATATGCCTAAGTCCTGAAAGCCTCAGGCTTTTAGCTTCACCCTAAAGATTCACCTTACTAAAACAACTTATAGACAAAGCCCTTTGGAGGTGGAGGCAGTTCAGGCCATTATCACCTACACAGTGAGTTGCAAGCCACCGTGGGCTACATAAGAGTCTCAAAAACAAAAACAAAACAATTCAACG